CCCCACCGAGCCACCCCTACTTCTCTTTCTATCTCTCATCCACACCGCTCCAGCACTCTTGATTCGCGAACGCCTTACTGTCTCTACTTCCGAGATCTCTTAGCTCTCGAGAAAGAGGCGAGGAGAGACCGCTCTCCATTACCATTTATAGTGATTTCTGAACCACCTTCCTTCGACCGTGTAACACACATCCCCACCCCCCCTATCCCCCCCTCTTTACACCCCCTCGTAGAATCACCTACGTGTCTACTTTCTGCGAAGCGTCTGATTTATAGCCTTTGTCATCCCTGGATGCATCCAGGGCATTCGTAAGACGTAGTCGAGGACCCAACGTTATTACGGATTCCCTATATACAGATATACCTAGGTAGATCCGAGCATGATTTCCCATTTCAGCAAACACACGTATCACTTTCGTCTTAGTTGCACCTTGAACTCCATTAAATCGATAAACAGAATCAGTTACGGTGTCGGACAGTTAAACGCACTTTTAGTTGTTCAATTTTCAACTGCGCATGCGCACGGTGTGCGGCCCATCCGACTTCGGAATGCCCGATCACGGCTTGACGTTTAACGAGAGTGCGATGGGACGAATCGCCTTGTGTTTTCACGTAGTTCCGAATATCAAGTATAAACTATAGTAGATACGTGTGTCTAGTTATGTACTGGGTATAACCTGTATATGTATGTAATTACGTATTTATTCTATGTAGACGTAGAATTGCCACGCGATCAAACGCTGAGTTCCCTTCGTTCCTTCTCTGCTGGTCCATAACCTATTCTCTCAGCCCTCTCTCGTCTCTTTCGCAACTTCTGCCAGTGCGTCCTGTCGGAGCTTCGTACCGTTTTAAAACGAACTCGTATCGGACGCATCTCGGCGACGCTGTTTCCGAAGGAACTTCTTTTTTTTTGTTTCCCAGGGAATGTTAACGACTTCAGGGCTATTATACATGTATACCTATAGAGCGTCTTTAGTGGAAGGTTTGCGAAATTCGATACCTTGTATTCTGCGTCACCACGCGCAGTACCACGTTTTGCCGACAGGACTAAACGTTACGTATAAAAGTTGACTGTGGTCTTTGACTCGTATTTTCATTCGTCTTCATCCTTTTCCTAAGCTTCGATAAAGTCTCGTGCGTCCTGGGATTCTCTTCTGTTAGGAACTTTTCAAATATCCAATTAGTTGGACGGCGCTCATCGAACGTTCCCTTTAAGGTGATCAATGACGGGAAGAGGAAGGGGGGAGAGGGACGGAGGAGGGAGAGCTTCCGGTGGGCCGACGGGATATTTCTCCACGAGGATCAAGGTGGACGAGGGTTGCTTTTTCAGAGGGGTGGAGTGTACCGGAAGGACAGGAAAGTTAGAGAGGAAGGATCAGAGTATGAGGTAGACCCGCCTGATGTATGGCGAAGGCCGAAGACGTCAGGATGTTTGCTACCCACGTTTTCCACAACATGGATCGATTTTGAATCTCCCTCCTTCCTTCACTCTCCCACTCCGTCTCTCCCTCTGGTTCACCGTTGATCGACACAATGACGCGAATTACTTCTTTTTCTCTCTGCCAGTGATCGAACTAGTACAAATCCGAACCACAGATTTTAAACACGCCATTACGCAAATTAAGTTTTAGTGCCAGCGGCAACCGAGTCTTTGGCCCTTGGCCAACGTTTATTCGCTTGCGATGCTTTTTCCCGGCTCTTCGTCTTCCGTCCCTCCGCCCCTCCGACTCCATCCATCTATCTGTCTCCCTCTCACCGCTACGTACCGTCATTTCTCTGCACCGTACGCACTCGTACTCACTCGTCACCGACTTTATTCCCCAGCCTCGTCTCATCCTCGGTACTCATAAAAATACCAAAACCCGTTTTATTGTTGGCTTCTGTTCCGTCGCCTTCGAACTTTCGCGGCTGTCGACGCGGAAGCGGATCGCTGAATTACGCTTCCTGTCGTTTATCTCAACTTTCGTATCTGCCGCGATATATACTCGCACTCCTTCTCCACCCAGATCCCGCAGGATGTCGGTGAATATACGTCCCGAAAGTATATGGATTTTCTTGGCCGGCCAGTAACGAGAATAAGTTTCACTTGTTATCCGTTTTACGACAGTACAATAGCACCCTTACCAAGTACGTAGATGGCCTCCCGGTAGTATTGTATTCGCGGTATTCCCAGCCTGTGCCAGGGCGAATTCCGTACTCTAAAGAGGACTTCGCAATAGGGCTACGAAGGAGGAGAGTCGCTGCTCGTCCGCAGAAGGACGTACTCTTATCTATCCCCGGGGGTCACGTTGCTCGCAAAGTTCAGTTCTGCCCGCGACAGCGGCGCGTCCGACGCCAGTAATTTGCCAGCAAGTTAAATATTCCCACGTGAAAACGTCAGAGTGACTGATGCGCGAATGTGACTAATGTTACCCCCCAAAGGGGCCACCGTCAACTCACTTCACTTCCCTCCTGTCCCAAATCTCTTTGCACCCTCGCCATTGTCTCAACCTGTCGCCCCGCGTCTCCTACCCCGGAACACAATCCATCAAACGATCCGTTAAATATGACCGATCGCACCACGTCGCTGTCAGATGGATCAAACGAGAGTGGAAAATGTCTTTGAATTAATCAAATTAAAGGATTGTGGCTCCACCTATCAACTGTTCTCGTCTTACTTTTCTTAAAACCTGGTAACGGTTGGCTGGCGGTCGATCGTGATATCGACAAAAAATGAACGGCTCCCGCTGAATCCTTTGTTATTTCGCGAGAAAGAAAAATTGCCAAGACAATCTCATTCACGGAGATTCCTTTTTTTTTTTCAACAAGAAATATTAAAACCTTTCCACGTCGTAACTTCGCGTCCCGCCCGTCAAGACTCGACGGAATCAAATTCCTTGGGATGTTTTTCTCGAATATTTTTCTACCGTTAGCATAATGGCAAAGGACGAGGGAAGGCAGTCGGCGAGCAGGCAGGTGTCAGCTGTTGGTGATCCGTGCGTTGTTAGATAGGCAGTTAGGTTAGGTAAGTATAGCTATACCATGCAGATTGAAGACGGAGTCGTCTTGTGTTCCAGGCGTACCTACCTGGGGGATGAAAACTGACGCTATTACGAAGCCACTGTGTGTATTTCGGCCTGTAATTCAAAAACAAAACGTAATCGCCCGTGCTTTTATTTGCTTTGTTGCTACCAGCAAGAGGAAAGGCTCGCCCTCTAGCGAGATGGTTGTGTTTGTAAGAAGGGCCAAGGTAATTAAGTTAAAAATATACGCGTGCCTTATCACACCTCCTTTTGTTCTACGTCGAGCATGGCCGCCAGCGGGGCTTCCCTGAAAACATTTTTCATCGTTTACACGTAACAGCGCGGTTTTCCCAGCCTTCGTCCGCTATACTTAGTTCTCTTTTATACTCTCGACTGCATGTTTATTCAAGAGTCTCACGTACAAAAGATATTCCCGCGCGAAGGGACGTGACACTAGGTACGGCCGCGCGAGGACCAGCCAACCAGAATGAGGACGTAGGATAACGGGCCAAGCATGCAAGGGTCGTAGAGACAGGAGGACAGGAGGATTGTGTATCGCCAGCCAGAGAAGCCAGGACATGAGGACACAAGCCGGAAGTCGGGAGGAAATGAAAAAGTTACGTTACGAGTGTTCGCGACGTTTTCATTTTTACGCAACAGGAGGATCATCTTCGAAATGACGACGCGCAGAAGTACGTGGCTACATGGCCGCGTTTAAATATTCGCGAACGTTGAAGCTTGCTCGTTACACTGGAGTGGTCTTGCGGCGTGGTAACTTTCGAACGAGAAAGATAGAAAGAGATACTGCGTCCTTTGAAACGGGTAAATAACGTCGCTCCTATACGTACGATATGCCTGTCTATCCGGCTGACTATAGTCATATTATCCTGTTTACATAATATTCATATACGCGGAATCTGCACGTAATACGTCAACGTCTTTCATGTAGCCGTTTACGGTTTGGCTTCCTATATACAAGCAAGAAATAGACGAATGGAAGAAGGAAGTACGAGGCCACGAGGGAAAACTTTGTATCGTATTTCAGTTTCGGATGGCGACCCTTGACGCCAGCGTGTTTACAACCCCGTCATATGGTTTTTTCATACCGACCAACCTCTTCGAGCTGTTTAGAAAACAACTGGTAACCGAGGCAGGGTGCCTTCTTTCGGAAATTCTCAACGGCACCTACTTTGGTACCGTCTCGATATTTCGCTTCCAGAATCGTCATAAATGTCACCGGTCTACGTCATAGCGTACTCTCGCAAGCGGACACTGGTAATCAGGTTTTTCGTCAGTGTGGTTAGTTGAAAAAATTGTGGCGAAAAAAGCCGGTTAGAGGAGTTGACAGGGGAGGATTAAAGTACCAAGAGTTTTACACGTTTGCCCAGCTCGAAAACCGTCGCAGCCCTAATGGACGGTAACCACAGTGGCGAACTTTAATTCCAGGGGAATTGTCGGGTGCACCGCTTCTCGCTTGTCGGCTGGCTGGAAGTGCTGGCTTGTCCACACTTTTAACTTCCGGTCGGCCGGTAATTAGTTGGCATTACCATGGACTGGCCTCTGGATACGTAGACTATATGTATACCTGTGTATATTTAAGCCACGAGGGAAGGTAGAGAAGCGAAGCTTCTCTCCTCCTTTGCTCCTGAAGGTAACGTAGGTACATATACGAATTGGCTGTTCTAGCCAGCTGGAAGGTACCGGTGCTCTGCGTTTCCGCTCCTCTGGAGCTTTTAACCACCGAGTGCTGAGTGGAAGGTACGGCAGCGTTGCCAGGGTGGAATTGTGTCGGAGGGAATGGGGCCTGGGAGCCAGATGGGTGTTTAAGCAGCTTTCGTCGGTGGAGCGGCGAGCTAAAGCGCCAGTTTTCGTACTAATATTTGCCACTCGACCCTACAATTCCTTACGATCATCGACCCATCCTACGCAAACTGTACGAATATATACGCAGTCCATTGTCTCGTCGTACAATAAAACTTTGACTGATTTTGCGAACGAGACACGTCAGCCACGTTCTCCGTGCGTGCATATATAGATATACGAAGGGAGTAGCCGCTTACCCCTAATTCCCAACGCGGGGCGGCTTATCGCTGTAGATGGAAGGCTAGGGGAGATACGCTCGGTTACGTTCCTAGGATTAGGGACACGTCCGGGATGCTCGGTGAAAAGTCCTTTTTAAGGGCGTGGTCGTCCTACAGAAATTCTACAATTTTCCTACCACCCCATGATTCTCGTCTCTGGTTATTCCCTCAAGATTCCCCACGTGATTACATACTGATCTCGTAATAACATTTTTCACTCTGTGCATTACTATCAGCCCTATATACCTATATAGATCCACTGCCTTGGTAACTCTTGTCATCGAATCTACCTGTATCTACTGTAAGCACCACCCACGCGGTTCAGGATTATTCTCGAGTGTCGATGTAATTTCGAAAATTCTTGATATACAGGAAGGGTTCTGGTAGGAAGGGATGGTGAAAAGGTTGAAAAGTAGAAAAGTGGAAACAGCCTGATGGTATTTGCAATTTAAAGTGCAGTACGGATCTCGACGTTCGAAATGGGTAGCCGCGGGAGAGTGAGGGGGTGGTAGCGTGACGGGGGTGGGAGTTAAGTATTATCGGGACCGATGTAAAACGGGCAGAAACTTAAAGGCGCGAGTGCAAGAGTTTCGTCGGAAGGAAAATTGCAAAACTAAATTAATTACTCGTGAAGTCGACAGGTGGGAATTGGCGGTGGATGGGCGGATGGTTTCCACGAGGTTTTCGCGGTCGATAGAGCTAATAAAAGTAAAGATGCTATTAAATGCTTATGCAACGAGAGAGAAGGAGACGATATAGACGCTAGAAAAAGCTCTTGGTGTGACCTGCCTTTCTGATCTTATTAAATATACAGCAAATTTAGGGTACCCGCCTGGGCACCCTCGGGCGTCCAAAATATTGCACAATATCCGGGTGTCGCCGACGGTCTGGTTCCGTAGGGTTGATAAGAAAGTCCTTTATTATGCAGGTTACGTTCCGAACGAAATTTTACATGGGGGTTTTTCTACTTTGTTGGAGTATATGGAGGGGGCTGAATGCAACGACGTCACTGCGCGTCCCGACGCCTGTCAAAATCCTGTGTCTTCTATCGGCGCACTCAAACGGAAGAAAAGGTAAACGTAAAGACGCTTCGAGACTTTAACCTGAACCCGCATCGTCGTTAGTCTAAGTAATTGACCTGCCTATGGAATGGTGCGAGATATTTCAGCCACTTAAGCTTTCGAGCGATCCACCCCTACGCTAATTACGTAACCGGGGAATGAAAATCTACCTTGATATATAAATTTCGATTCGTTTTCCTTAACTGGTCTAAAAATACATAAGCTCGGCCGACGAGAGCTTTTTTATATTAACTTATTACGCCGGATGGAACTTCGAAGCTTTTTCATTACGGGCAAATGATTTGCCCTCGCGATAAGGACGCTTCTGACAAAGGGCAAAATTTGTTATCCTTCGATAACGTCGCTAAATTTCGTTGAGTCCCTCGATTTCGCGTGCCGAACGTTACTTCTTCACGCAGTATATAAAACCGTCGTTATCTTCGACGTCTGACGCTTTGTAACGACGTTACGACGCTTTACGGTGTTTCGCGGTTCAGGTCGCGCATTAGTTAATAAAACATGCCGCGGGCACGTGGGGGCAGAATTATAGCCGACGTAACATTATTCCGCCCACCCTTTCTAACGTCTATGGCTTGTATATAGGGAGCCAGTTGGTGGTATGGCGTTCTCTACAAAGGTTATGGTGATCGCAGCCACTCCCTAATATTTGTTGCATATTTAACAAGTCTCTCTATATACAGGTAAAGTAAATACGATAGGGAGCTACTCCCACGAGCGGACCGTAGCTCATCAATAATTTTCCCAAAAATTCATCCCCGGTTCACCTCCTAAAATATCAATGGTCCACACCATAGCCGTTCACAGTCCCTTTGAAACGTTGACAAGCCCATTGCTATCTAACAGGAGCAGACAGACCTGACCATCTGATTAACAGAGTGACTTGCAAATCCTCCCTCGTGAAAAATCTTACTGCTCTGTAATTTACAGAGGGTAGAAATTTGTACATACGTAATAACTCGCGTACTCGTATTACGTTTATCGACCCCATGAAAAAGGGGGATGATGGTAAAATCCTTTAATTCTCATCAAGAAAAATTACAAGATTTCCTGCGACTGGTAATAAGGGTAGTATCGTATCGCGGGAACGGGAATGAAAATACCGGAAGAAAAATTCCGCAATTTCGTTCTGGATTTTGTCTCGGGGTTATTGGGAATTACGTCGAAGACAGTATATACCTGTATCTGTACACAGCTACGAGACTGTATATAGCGGAATGCTAGTTTACGATATCTACAAAACAAGAGACACTTGAAGCGGTAACAGAGCCTCGTGTGCCTATTGAAAAAGATAACCCTTTGTTTTCATCGGGCGACGACAACACGGCTTTTTGTTTGGTTCTCGAGAACTTCATCGTTAGTCCCCTCGACGATAGGCGTCCATCGCAACGTCAACGCGCTCTTTTATTCTCGGCATGACGTCGTCACTCGTCAACGACGTTTTGTCTCGTAAAGCTCTCGCTTTAACGTAGGTACCTGTTAGGTACCTACCTACGTCCTCTACCGGGTTGGAAAATACATCGTGCTACGGATTAAGCCAGTAGACGTACGCGATATTCACTCTTTAATCGTCCTGGGCCTACGGGATAGGGTAGAGAGACTTCCATCCCTTGATCCGCTTTTCATGATAGCGACCCAAATTTTTTTTCTCCAGTAACTTCGCATTATCCTTGAGGTACTTATGGTACAGCCCATTGTTAAATGGTGGTCAGTCGTGCATAGCCGTTTCATTGTCACTCGCGACAATGCTCGCCCTAGAACATTTGTTAACGGATGGGACAGAGATAAGGGGATAAAAGTTCTATATCACGTATTTTCAGGAAACTTCGCTGATTTCGACAGTTTCACAAGCTCAGCCTTAACCGAAAGACCTGATGCAATCGCTTGCGAAATAACATTTCCGAGATTGGGTCCGCGAAGGTGGATCCAGGGTACCCGCACCTATTGCGAAACTTTCGCCGGGACGAACTTGCGCTATAATTTCGCGAGCAACGAACGCACCAGGGATAATTATTGGTAACTACTAACTGCTAAAGTTTCAAGAGCGCAACCGGCGCGGCGGTAACG